GCTTGGCAAAAGATCTGAGAAATTAAATCAAAGCCTCTGTGCTATTGGGGTGTGAAGTCGGATATAATTTCTTAAATGCACGGGGTTTCACATTTAAATTTCAGGGTTTTGGCCAATGCATGTGATACAGTACTTGTTGCATTTCATCTGGTTTTACCTTGTGCACAGTTGACAAAACGTGGCGCAGAATTTCCCCCCACCTCATTTGTGTTGAGTCCAAGTAAGTACAGAGCGGGATGTATTAACTGTTATGTAGCAGACACATATGTATTATCACAACGTCATCAAAATGATGAACAGCCCCAAATTTCAGCCAGGTCGTATTCAGTACACAGTTGATCCTCATATTCTTTGCAAGGCTTTGCTATTGCAGAGCCACCTTCTCCACAATGTTTTCTGGAATGGTGTTAGCGCTACATATTGTGGGACTCTGCTTTAGTACCAATGTGAGCATCTCTCTCTCCCCCTCTCTGTGAAGGCTAACAGCAGCCTGGAGAGTGGAAGTGGGTGGGTTATTTTGTCAGGACTTTGGTGGAGAAGAAAAGGGTTAAACCCTCCACATATGCTGTGGTCTGGATGAAAATCGCCCCCTCCCCACTTCCACTATTAATTAAGAAAAATAATCAGTGATTTGCCTCTATGTGAGCAAGGTTACTTGGCACCAATTCTCTGCTACTAATGAACTTAGGAAAAAGAATTATTTTCTGCCCCACATCACTAGGGTTAAGCACTGTGCCCCTGTTGTTTTTATTCTGCTTCCATATCCAGATAGGATGTGTCATGTGTGTAATATAGAGTTATAGCAATGCAAAAAGGGGTGGTTTGACAGATGTGCTTATTGACAACCTCTCCATATTACTTTATCATACATTTAGAGTCTGGCTCCAGGAGAATGGTGCATAATGCAATTATGTCTCATTCAAGGTTTCTCATCACCGGCATATAATGGATGTTTTGAAAACTGTGGCAGACTATATTGTTTCTTTGAAATCTCTGGACATGGTCCTGTGCAGACATTTTTATAGGGCCAGGTGTTAGTAGAAGCAGGTGCAATAGCACAGAGCTAGTGATTTGTATAATGTTTGCTATAATATTGAATCACATTCTTCAGCTTTATATTTTGCTATGCCAGGCAAGATATTATTCCTCGCCTTGCATTTCTACATTCAAAGCACCTTGCCATTTACCTCATGCTCAGGTACATAAAGTCTCTGGCATATACGCATGAATTAATAAATCATCACTTGAACTACCTTTTGGTTCTTCAGGGAATTTTATCTAACAAAATAGCTCAGATAAAGGCAGAGAGTGTTTGAGGTGACTAGTGTTAGCTGTGGGAATCTTGATTTGAAATCAGGATTTGAGTAAGAGTGATGGGCAAATCATGCTTAGCAGCCTAGTCTACTTCTCTGGATTGTTGTGCAGGGTAAATTGAGTTAAAATATGTGTCGCATCCTCAGCAATTTGGAGAAAAGGAGGATCTAAATATCACAATGGACAAACCATCGTGCTGTTAAAAACAACAGCCCGCTTACAGTTATTTACAGCTGTGACTCCAAGCGCAATTTAAGTGTTGTGCTGGCTAAGCTAAAAATTGTTTACCTATGCATTGTTTTAATGACCCAGTTCATTTCTCAATCATGCCCTTGGCCATTCTGTCAGAAGCATTAGCAGGCCATTACTGTGCACACCAAGGCCACAAGTTTATATTGGGAACCATAAAACCAACCGGCACGAGCGTAAATTCAATTTCTGCTCTAGAGCCTTTTCTGCATTTACAACAGTCACACATGACACAGGTCTGCGACTCTCAGGCAGCAAAATAAAACAGACCCTTCACGTTCCCCGATTTTCCAGCGACAGTCCCAGATTTATAGAAGCCATCCCGGTTTCTGATTTGATCCAGGAATGTCTCGCTTTTCCATAGGATACCCCTACTTTCACTGGAGAAATGTTGGAGGATATGGAGTTATATGACGAGCCAAGGAGATAAGTAACTATACAACCTTTAGAAGACATCTGAAAGCAGCCCTGTATATGGATATTTTTTAAAAAATGTTTTATGTTGTTTTTATATGTGCTGGAAGCTACCCAGAGTGGCTGGGGCTTCCTGCCCTATCTGCATCCAGATGGTGGGGAAGGGGAGCCACTACACTTCCTCCACAACCCATTGAGAAGGTGATTGGGCCGGATCTGGCCTATGGACCATAGGTTGCCTACCGCTGCTGTATCCCCATTGCCTCACCCCACCCCAATATCCTGATAAGCCTAGCATAAGAATGTAAGAGGAGCCTTCAGCTGGATCAGACCACTGTAGTCCGGCATCCTGTTCTCACAGGGGCCAACTAGACGCCAGCAAGCAGGATTCGAGCGCAAGAGCCTCTCCCCTCCTGTGGTTTCCAGAAACTGGGACTGAGAAGCATGACTGCCTCCTAGTAGCTTGACTATTGCTACAACGACATTACCTCTAGCCACCCACCCCTTATGAACAACTGCTGGCTATGTGTTAGGGGTTTTTCAGGGGCACGGGCAGGAATGATACGGTTGCCATACATCCAGAATTTCCCGGACATATCCAGAATACTGCAGTCGAAAGCAGTGTCCAGGTAGAATTCAGCTAAATGTCTGGGATGTTGGCGGTCTCGTTTTTGCCAGTTTCCCACAAAAATTGCTCAAAAGCATCCCATTATTTCGCCCTCAACAACTCTTCTGTCCGGATTTTCACTTTTTGAAAAATGGCAACCCTAGGGAGCACCCCCCAAAAAACACATGCATCCTGAAGTGATATACTGTAGTCTATTCTGCCATTTTATTCATGCCCTCCAACATGTCTCTGACACAAATAGGGACGTCCTATTCAATAACAACAGTTTTATTACTTGTACCCTGTGTTGCCCCAGCCACTCTGGGTAGCTTCCAGCACATATAAAAACAACATAAAACATTTTTTTTAAAATGGATGGTCTGGGAATCAGCGTGTTTACATGAGTAAAATGTGTCCTTTTATTTAAAATGCATCTCTGGGTTATTTGCGCGGCATAGGAATTTGTTCATATTTTTTTTTCAAAATATAGTCCGGCCCCCCACATGGTCTGAGGGACGGTGGACTGACCCACAGCTGAAAAAGGTTGCTGACCCCTGGGATACAGCCACGAAGGATCTGGATGACTCAGTCGGCTACAGCGTGGCGCTGATAACATCAAGGTTGCAGGTTCAGTCCCATTATGGGACAGGTGCATATTCCTGCATTGCAGGGGGCTGGACTAGATGATCCTCAGGGTTCCCTTCCAACTGTACAATTCTATGGTCTTCCTGTCCTATCTGCATCCAGACGGTGTGGAGGGGAGCCACTACACTTCCTCCACAACCCATTTCATGCTGACACTGGTTCTAGCTAAGAGAGTTCCTTGCTGAGCTAGGGCTTTTGAGTTTTGTTTATTTATTTATTTTATCAGATTTATATGCGGCTTGATTGTAAGGGGGGGGGGAGCCTCAAGGTGGTTTGTTAAGGGGAAAAAAAGATAAAACAAATTTATCACTAAAAACTTAGAACCATAATTAAAAACATAAGAGACCTTTGAGGGTTTGGGGTTGTCTTTTTTTTAAATAATAATAATAATAATAATCAAGCAGTGTATCGATTTTATGAAATAATAAATAAAATTAAAAGCAGAATAGAATGCACCGAAACAAATTAAAGCTTTAGTGACAATTAAAGCAAATGTTTTATGAATCTATTCAAAGATTTAACATTTCTGCACTAGCCCCAGTTTTACTCTACGGTCTTTCGCGCGGATTAAAAATAAAATAAAATCCTGCATCACTTGCAGTTTTGAAGGACAGGTCACACTCCCCGCCCCCGCCCCCCCCCCAAATAAGGTAATACCCAGCACATGGCCCCGCGCATGCGCCCCTCTTTTTAAAACGAACTGCCGCAAGAGCCTCTCCTCTCCCCAGGACAAGCCCTGCCCGTGAGCTTGGCCAATCAGAGGTTTCCCAGTGCCTACAACGCACGCGCAATACGTTCCTCTCCCTCGGAGCAGCAAGTTTTACTGCGCAGAGCGGTAGGTTCCTTCCTTTTTGCCCCTCCCCTCCTCGCGTATAGCCTGTAGACTTTTAAAAGGTTAGACTGCCAGTTTCATAGCCTGGAAGCGCACTTCCGGGTTAGTTTTGATACCCTTCATCTTCGCCTCTCTCTCTCTCTCTCTCTCTCTCTCTCTCTCTCTCTCTCTGGGATTAAAAGTGACAGCTCCATGTGGGGCCTTCGCTTCTATAAACCCTTTGTCAGCAACGAATTGTCGCTGTTTTTTGTGTTGAATATATGATTTATGGTAATTTATGGGCCTAATAGATATCTAAAACCATTTGCACGTAACAAAATATGTGTTTTATCCAAGTAATTGTTGAACTGAAATACAATTAAGAAGAAGGATATCAATAGTGAAATAATTATTAAGTTCCAACCTAAAATGATTTTTCATTCATAACAAACTTAATAATGGAAACACACTGGCATTTGGCAATAACAAAAGTTCCTTTAGAAGCACAGTTTACAAAGACTCATAATCTAGTCTCTAGATACTTGCTATAGCATGAAATAATAATAGCAAACCAGTGACATTTTAGGGAGCAGGCTAGCAGGCGGGGCCCATGACTTACATCATAGGAGCCTACACAACACAAAACAAGCACTGTTGCTGTATGTAGGTTTTATTTTATTTGTTTTCTATCTTGTATTTTGGAAATGTACATCCAGATTTTTTCCCTTTAAATTTTTTGGGGGCCCCCAAGAGAGTGGGGCCCTAAACTATAGCTCGTTTAGCTTATACGCAAATCCGGCCCTGGTCTTATTCCAGACTGCGTTAAGTGGAGAACCGACCATATCAAAACAGCAAAAACTCTAAACCGTGCGCTATGGACGTACGACTCTCTTTTTTTATCTCTATGCGCTCCGAAAATGCCATAGAGATAAGAAACAAGCAGAATTATTTCCGCCTCTCACTTCCGGTACACATCGATTAGCTCCGTGTCAAGGGTCTCGGAAGTCTGTGATGTCCGAGTTAGTAATGGTGGGTGATCCCTTTTTTTCCTTTTCCTTCCTCACCTCGTTGCCTTCATAAGAGGACGGCCAGTATCTTACCCGGGGTGCTAAGTGAGGCGGCGGCCAGGGGTTACTCTGGGGTCTGTGATAAGTGATGCAGGGTTTTATTTTATTTCTAATCCACGCAAAAGACCGTAAAGTTGGGGCTAGTGCAGAAATGTTAAGAGTGGGCAGTGCTAAGTGAAGAAACCCATATTTGAATAGATTAATAAAACATTGGCTTTAATTGCCACTGAAGCTTTAATTTGTTTTGGTGCATTCTGTCCTGCTTTTATCCGCGTACTTCCATGTCAAGTGCAGATGAGATTGTAAACATGGAAAGGGTGGGGAGAAGAACCATGTGCAGCCATGAAACTGCCAGCACATTTCGCAAAGCTAAGCAGGATCCGGTATGGTTTCACATCGCTTGGATGGGGAACCAACACATGTTGTGATTCCTGCATATTGCAATGGGGGTTGGGCTAGATGACCCTGGAGGGGGAGGCGGCCCCTTCAAAATTTACGATTCCATGATTTCTATATAAACTCCTCCTCCGACTGCCCTTGTCCCTGCAGAAGGTCCCGCTAGCAATTCTATGCAAAGGCTGCGTGTGACTTTTCATCCATTTACAGTGGTACCTCAGGTTAAGAACTTAATTCGTTCCGGAGGTCCGTTCTTAACCAGAAACTGGTTAAGAATTGCTGCCACCGCACAATTTCTGTTCTCATCCTGAAGCAAAGTTCTTAACCCCAGGTACTACAGTGGTACCTCGGGTTACATACGCTTCAGGTTACAAACTCCGCTAACCCAGAAATAGTGCTTCAGGTTAAGAACTTTGCTTCAGGATGAGAACAGAAATCGTGCAGCGGTGGCGCAGCGGCAGCAGGAGTCCCCATTAGCTAAAGTGGTGCTTCAGGTTAAGAACAGTTTCAGGTTAAGAATGGACCTCCGGAACAAATTAAGTACTTAACCCGAGGTACCACTGTATTTCTGGGTTAGCAGAGTCTGTAACCTGAAGTACCACTGTATTATATACACTGCCTCTCTCCTTGGTGTGTTTATCTCATCCTCCACTTTTTGTCCTTACAGCAACCCTGTAAGGTGTGTGAGGTGAAGAGACGTAGTGACCTACTAGCCCAAACTCACCTAGAGAACTTTGTGATTTGAACCAGGATCTTTCATAAGATTCATTCACAGCACTTGATTGTAAAAAAAAAAAAGACTAAAAAGGCTTCAAAGCGGTTTACAAAAGATGAAGCAGTAAAATCAAGAAAAAATGACAACCCTACTTTAAAACACACAAAATGTTAAAATACTAAAATAGTCTAAAATTACACACCGACTTTCTAAGCATCTTGGTAAGCTTGCCTAAACAAATGGTTTAGGCAGGCTCCTGCTTGATCTGAATAGGCAAGGAGTTCCAAAGTGAAGGCGCCGCCATACTGGACGGTTGAGTTCATACAAATGTGGAATGGGTATTATGTGGCACCTGTAACTGTGTTAATTCGGCTGACCGAAGTGTAGTGTAAGGCGATCTCATAGGTAAATTGTTCCCAAGCAGCTAAGGGCTGAATAGACTAATAGCAACACCTTAAACTTGGCTTAGTAGCAAATAGGCAACCAGTTCAGATCTCTGAGCGCATGTGTTAAATGCTGACAAGGCCTCACTCCCGTCAGCAATCGCGCAGCAGCATTCTGCACTAACTGCAGCTTCCAGATCAAGCCCCACATACAGCTAATCCAGTCTTGAAGCAACCTACCCAACCTTAGCCCCCCACACTGTCCCATTATGACTGACCAGATCTGGTGCTTAGAGAGTTCTGATATAACTTGTCTGTGGCCTTTTGTAATGGAAGAAGGCAAGTGGGAGATATGTCTCTGAATTTGCATAGCTTTGCTTCTCTGGAAGTTTTATGTGTTGCAGATTTCCTACAAGGATGACGTATCTACAAGCTGTTTCATATGTTTACTACACCTGCCTAAACCCTGTGTGTTGTTGTCATAAATGTGATATATGTGAGCAGTGTAACATAGTGGGAACATGGAAAAAATCGTTGAAAAAAATCATCATCCAATCAGGCTTGGATGTTCCAAATGCATATTTCATTATCATAGAAGTTGCTGATGCAATCTTCTGTGTGCTCCCACTTTGCTGCTGCTTTGCCCGTGTTGATGTGAACAAAACCATAAACGTTATGTCTACACCAGCTGTGAAACAATTCTATGCATTATGCAGAATGTGGTATAACTGTACAACTTCAGACTGCAGGGAGAGAAAAAGAGAGTTCCATTTTAAATGCCTGCCCCTAAACTAGCATATGCAGGAAAACACACACGCAAAGACTGCCTGTTTTATGTGGAGATGCTTTAAAAAATATTGTCCCCCACTAGAATTCTACTGCTTTGCTCTACCGCTATAATTTCCCGTTTCCAATATTAAAATGCTTATGCACCCAAAAGGACACCACCCACATACAAGAGGGAGATAACAGCAGGTTTGGATTTGCAGAAATTCATATTTTAAAACCTTAATGGGGAAGATCCCCCCAAAAAGCCCAGTGAAGGCTGAGTGTGTTCATTGTCTATAGATAATGACAGACAGCTGAGGAATAAAAGAGTCAATGGGATGTGAGCAGTAATGGAGTATTGTGTTGGAGGTCATAGCTGACTGCCTGGAACAATGTTTTGTTTCAGGTCCCTTGTGTTCTACAAAATGTGTAGATTGATTCCTACACAGAAGTCTATTAAATAGTTAATAGGCCATGCATTTAGACTTGTGGAACAAATTCCTGATCAGTGGACTATGAAACTCAAGTCACATAAAATTATGTTTAGTCCAGCCACAGGAGAGTATTCTGAAATAATGCTCATTTCTACTGTTGTAAACAGGCAGCTTGCATCTCTTGACTCTGCCGGAATTCAAAATAATGTGCATTTAAAATAATGGCCATGGATGTGGGTCAGGATGATAGAAGGCGTGAGGAAAATAAGAAAAGCTTAGCCATTTTTTCTAGTCTAGCATTCTGTTTCCAGCAGTGCCTAACCAAAGCTTAGAAAGGGTTACAAATAGGGTATCAAAGCAACTGCCCTCTCTTCTTTATCTCACCATCATTTGGTAGTTGCAGAAATATTGGCTATGACTTGGGAGTTTCTACCTAGCTACCCTGGCAATTAACTGTTGATCGGCTTATCCTTCAAGGACGCATCTGTTACTCTGGCTGGTGGGCAGAAGTGAAAGAAAGAGCACTGATGAGTTTGAGTTGCAATAAACCTAACTGTTAGGACAAAAGTTAAGTCCTTTGCAATGAAGGATGTAAGTTGATACAGGCAAGGTCTGTCACTTCAAGATTGCTTCGTAAATTGGTTCTCTCAAATATTAGTGGTTTGGTTGCAGCTGGGAAAGGAGCACACTTTGAGAACAAGTTCAGTGTACTGCTAAAAAAACTAAGGTCAAGCTTTCTCTCTCTTCGCAGGTGTAGTCTTGGTGCAGAATGGGAATAAACACTGTAAACCTTGGATCTTTCTGCCCTGTACAGAGAACACATGCACAGCTTCATAAAACCAAGTTTCTCCAACTTTTGGAAATGCATTTTTGTTAAGGATTCCTTTGACTGATTATAGGAGCGAGAAAACTATGCTTAGCCAGTGGCTGCATTTATGCCCTGTTCCCAGCACTTTGCTTATCACACCACACTCTGGACGGTGACTGCTGCAGTTCCCCTAAAAGCATGTTTGCGCTTGTGAAAAGGGCATTGCGGCTTGCTGTCAGCCTCAAGAGGTCATATCATGCTGGCATTTTTTCGTTTCTTTCTCTGGGTTTGGAAAAGTCTCCCAGACATCGCGTCACATTCCTCAGGCGATATTCCTCTGAGACTGGCAAGGTGACAGTTGTCTTGTCTACTTAAAAAATACTTGTTATTGGGTTGATTTCAGCATGATTAAGTTTACCTTGTAAATAATGTAGCTGAGAAGTAAATGGGTGGCAAAAAAATTTCATAGCAAGTTGCAATCCAAGTCATTGGATTGGGTTCTGAAGTAGATGACACCAGGTAGCTAATTCCTGCTACTATTTTGCAAACATAATGATACTCCATGGTCACCTGATGTTTTTCTCCCCTCTTACCACTTTTTTTTTGTTAAATGAGTATCAGGGGGGTTAAAGGTTTATCAAAAATCCAAGTCTTAAGAACATAACCTTGGAAGTAAGTCTCATTCATTTTAGTGAAGCATATCTCCCAAGTAGGTATGTTTTGAGTTTATTTATTTATGTTTTGAGTTGGTCTGTTTATTTAGTAGAGATGCGGGTGACGCTGTGGGTTAAACCACAGAGCCTAGGGCTTGCTGATCAGAAGGTCGGCGGTTTCAATCCCCGCGACGGGGTGAGCTCCCATTGCTCGGTCCCTGCTCCTGCCAACCTAGCAGTTTGAAAGCACGTCAAAGTGCAAGCAGATAAATAGGTACCACTCCGGCGGGAAAGTAAACGGCGTTTCCGTGCGCTGCTCTGGTTCGCCAGAAGCAGCTTAGTCATGCTGGCCACATGAGGCTGTACGCCTGCTCCCTCGGCCACTAAAGCGAGATGAGCACCGCAACCCCAGAGCCGTCCGCAACTGGACCTAACGGTCAAGGGTCCCTTTACCTTTAGTTATTTAGTAAATTTGTATGCAACATATGAGTTCACAACAGTAGAGTGGTTCACAGCATGTAGTTGCCACCTGAAACATCTCGGTTAAGAGTGACTATCAATTGACTGCGTAGCTACTGTATGTGTATGCGGTGACGAATAGTTACTCTTAACTGAGATGTTACGAGCTGCAACTTAAAACACACTGTGTGTGTGTAACATAATTCAGTGTTCCCTAGACTAGTGTTCTCCAGGTGTTTTAACTTGGCTACTGTCGAGTTGCCTAATGTGAGCTGCACTACTTTGGAAAGAACAGCACAGTTTAAGTTACTCTTGTTGAGCTATAAAGCCCTAAGTTTCATCTTGGGACCAACCATAGGGGCAGTCTTTTCTGTTACGTTGCCCAGTTTGTGAAATCACCCCCATCCCTTGAAATAAGACAGCCACTGATTTTATTACTATTATTTAAATTTAACAACCTTTCTGTTTGCCCATGCATTTGTTGCTTATTAATGCAGATGGAAAACAAAAGCTGTAAGGGCACTAAAGGGATTTTGCATCAGAACCACAAACTTTTATTGGCCTGGTCCTCCTCCCAGTTTTGTACCTTGGAGCAAAAAATGTGAAATGGTATCTTTTGGGTTTTTAACGAGAGTATAAATACATTGGCAAATACATTGGTCCACCACCCCAGACTATTCATGATTTGTGACCCTTTTCCTTTATGTGCTTTAGGATACAGTGGACATGTCATTGTTTCCTGTTGAAAACATTAGAAATTTCAGCATAATAGCTCATGTGGACCATGGAAAAAGTACTCTAGCAGATAGGCTGCTGGAGATAACAGGTGAGATAATTTTACAGTATGCTTTATTTCTTTGGGTACTGCCTGGGGGATGTAATCCATTGGAACAGTCAAATACAACATTCCTTATTTCCCTAGAGTGGGCACAACAGGTAACTTCCTGTTCCACTGGTCTGGAGTGTCTTCCCCCTGCATGTGATCTGGGAGATGGGCATGGTCATGGTTTCCTCCATAAAAGAGCCGAGTCACGCAGCCATTTTCTCTCTCTTGATCTCTCTCTTGCTTGCTGCCATGCTGCTCTCCTGCAGCCATTTTGTTCTCTTAATGTAATTTTGCTGTCTGCTGGCTCCCAGCTAGCAGCACATGAGTTCAGTCTACATGTGAGATGAACTCACAGATAGTTATGTAACTACTAAGTCAAGCCTGCCTTTCAGGGATCAAATCGTGAACTGAAACGTGAGTAAACCTCTTGTTACTTTTAAGGAAAGACTCTTGTGTCTTTATTCTATTAAGAGGGATAAAAGGGGACACCAGGAATAATGGGCAAGCCAGATTGGATTACTTAACTAAAGAGATTCAAATGAATCTGCAAACCAGCTTCCTGCTATATTGAAGGGAATCTGCTCTGAAGGAAGGATAGTACTTATTCAGTATATCCTTTCCTGATATCCTTGACGTTCCCACACTTCATTTAAAATAAATACCGAGGCAGAACATGTAAAACAGCGACATAAGACAAAATAGAATAATAAAAGCCATATGGATAAAACGTCATATTCAGTTATGATAGCAAGGTCCTATTAATAGTCAGGAAAAGCTTGGGTGAAGCAGTCTGATTTCTCTTGCTGTTGGAAGCAAACATTTAGCAGCTTCCTGATCTACACAAGGGAGATGCCACAGGGGAGAAAGCCCTTCTTTCCATGGTGAGGTGGTGACCTGTAGGCCATGGAATGGCTACCAGGACCTGCTTCACAGACTGTGGTAATCGTCTTCGTCTTCGTTATTTATGCACAGCAATTATGATTCCAATACCAGTTTCATTTTCCATGCTGACCATTGTTTATAGATTCAGTAGAATACTTCTAATGTATATCGTTTCCATACCTAAAATAGAACGCTTTATGGTAATGGCTATGGTATTGTAAATTGTAAGTTTTCTTTCACTACCTGAGTGTGCATTTTTGTCACAGAAGTGGGACGCTAAAGTTTCCATTCTATTTTATTGTGTTTAATTTGGGGGACAACTGTTTTGTGAAATGGCAGTCAGTTTGCATTAAAAAAACGTGTTAACCTTACTACCAAAAGAGGTTTACACATTTCTCCTTCCAGCTAAACATTCTCAGATTTTCAAAGTCACAGAGGCAACATATGATATGCACACATACGACTTGTGTAACTTGCCTTGTTTGCTGAATCCGCCTTTGTCCATTGAAAGTGTGCAGCTCTTAACTCTTCTTTTTCATAGGGATCTTCTATATAGACTAGCATCTCTACAGATGACAATGTATCCAGCTCCCTTCCTATCATTTTCATGCGTAGCACCTACTTAGGTCCCTGATTATTTTTTTGGTAGCCTAGTGTTGTCCATCTGTTGAACTCCAAACCAGTAACAGAGAATTCTTTTATTTATTTATTTGACCCTATCTACATCAAGCTATATTCTATCCTTATCACCAAACTCCGAATATAATTGCACACTGTATTAATTGACATCATTTTTTAATATATTAGTGGCCATGTGATAATTTTAGCTTATAACTGTTATTGTTTAATGTCTTAATTTGTATATTAAGGTACTTTTATAGCTCTGTTTAGAGTAGGTAATGTCTTGATAACATAAATGTTTTAAGTTTTTTGTATCAATCCAGTATATTTTCTTTTAATTGTTGAATGATTCTGTGTACATTGTGGCAGCCTTTGGCTATGTGCAATAAAACTGACTGAGTGACTGACAGTTTTGAGAGCAGCCCTTTCACCAATCAGTTGCTCGAATATGTTTTAGATGATTTTCCCTGAGCATTGTCTGCCTGCTCCACTAAACTTTGGAACCCTAGCTTTCTTGATAGGAATAGACTGAGAAAGATAACACATAAAATTGATCGTGGTTTTTTTTTAAAAAAACAGCCATAGGTCTATGAGAATTAAACATGGCTATGCAAAAATGGACACTTATCACAATGTACATTAATTATGGAGTATTTTTGACCCTCTAGGAACCATTGCCAAAACAGACCATAACAAACAGGTGCTGGATAAGTTGCAAGTGGAACGAGAAAGAGGAATCACCGTTAAAGCCCAGACTGCCTCTCTGATTTATAACCACAAAGGAACAAATTACCTCTTAAATCTCATTGATACACCTGTAAGTTAATCATCAACATTGCTGAAGTAATACGAAATTGAACTATTGTTGTTGTTTTTGAAAAAGTAAATATTGAATGCTTCTAGATTATTATATTTTGCATTATTGTTACTTCTTGTTGCTGGTTTTTTACTTTGGCTTTATTCTGCTGTTGGTTTTATTTTATTTAGCTTTTAAGTGTATGCTTTATTTGTTTACTTCAAGGGTTGTCTGTTTTGCTCAGAGGGGAGACCCATTGAAATGAATGAACCGAAGTTAGTCATGCCCATACATTTCAGTGGGTCTGTTCTGCAAACAGCGAACAGTTGGGGGAGGGAACCCTCTGGTTTTCACTTTTTACAGCAAACTGCCCAGATAATTGGGTGGCGTGTAATTATTGTAAAATAAATATATAAATAACCACAGACTGGAGCAAATCCATGGCTGTGATCTAGTAACACTGAATTGGTTGTGCAGCTCAGTCCATGCAGGGATACAGTGGTACCTCAGGTTAAGTACTTAATTCGTTCTGGAGGTCCGTACTTAACCTGAAATTGTGCTTAACCTGAAGCACCACTTTAGCTAATGGGGCCTCCCGCTGCTGCTGCACCGCCGGAGCACAATTTCTGTTCTCATCCTGAAGCAAAGTTCTTAAGCTGAAGCACTATTTCTGGGTTAGCGGAGTCTGTAACCTGAAGCGTATGTAACCTGAAGCGTATGTAACCCAAGGTACCACTGTACCATGTTCTGGTATATTAGCGGTGAGGAATCCTTATGCCTGCTTTAGGGGTTGGATAAAGCTCCGTTGTTATCAGGCAGGAGCGAAGCAGAGCTGCAATTAATCACTGGACACACTGCAGTTGTTAGACTAATGCAACTAATTTATTAAATAGGAGAAGCTGAGTTAATGAGGGGGTTTAGAAAGATTGAAGCAAATGAACTGGATGAGTCATCCAGAAGTCTTCATTGCTCAGCACAGGGAGGAATTTGTTGACTCTCACGGTTTCTTCAAAAGAAAGTACAAATACAAGGTGTCACAGGCCTAAGACCCTATGCAGGTGCATCCCAGATAACTTGGACTACAATTCCCATCCACCTTAGCTATCTTGGCCCAATGGTCATGTCAGGGATGATGGGAGTTGTAGTCATCATGGAGAACCCCAGGTTGGAGATACTTAGTCCCTCCTATATTTTGTTCCCTCCTCCCCACAAAATAAAAATTCTGTCATTCTTCAGGAACTACAGTTAATTAAATACAGGTCAAGAAGCTTTCATAACTAATTTCCTAAAGGGGGTAGGTTGCTGTTTTGATGTTATGAGCCGTTCCTCCAAGATACGTGAGTCTCTGGCATAGGTGTGTTGTCCGTGGACCCCTAATTGGGAACCACTGATTTTGACAATATTCACAAAATGGCAGAAACTAGATTCGATAGATAGATAAATTTTATTGTCATTGTCCGTATATACACAGTATACACAACAACGAAAATCAAACACCCACTCGAAGACCGGGTTCACATACACATTTGCACGTATCTCCAACACTCTCATCCTATTCAGACATAATCTATAAAAACATATCATACTCCAGAATGTAACATAACCTATTAAAAGCATAACATAACCTAAAAACCTGTCTCATTCCTTCCTACTCCCTGCTTGCTATTCCTTGCAACTGGCCCTGAGATCATTATTTAGTGCAATCAGAGCTCTTGGATAGAAACTATTCAGAAGGCGTGTGGTTCGTGTTTTCATTGTCCTATATCTTCTGCCCGAAGGCAACAGTTCAAAGAAGTTGTGAGCAGGATGGGTGGGATCTCTCAGGATATTGTGTGACTTCTTCAAAGTGCGAGACGTGAAGATCTCATCCAGGGTTGGTAGTTGGAGCCCACTAACATTCTGGGCAATTTTAATTATTCTCTGGACAGGCGTTTTATCCGTTTCAGAGCTGCTCCCATACCACGATAATATACTATATGTTAAGACACTCTCGATGGTACTGTGATAATAGGACAGAAGTAGGTGCTGAGATAGATTCAGTCCCCTGAGCATTCTCAGGAAATACAACCTCCCCTGCACCTTCCTCACAACCATATTAATATTTACAGTCCATGAGAGGTCCTCAGAGATGTAAGTGCCCAGGTATTTAAAACTACCAACCCTCTCCACCTCCTCGCCATTTATGTGCAATGGTAAAAATACGCTTTTCTTTCTCCTAAAGTCAATTATGAGTTCTTTGGTTTTTTGGTGTTAAGCATAAGATTGTTTTCTTTACACCATTGAATTAACCCCTGTACTTCTTTCCTATAAGCAGTCTCATCGTTCTCACTAATGAGCCCCACCACTGTTGTATCATCCGCAAATTTGATGATTGTGTTGGACTCATACAGTGGGGTGCAATCAAATGTGTACAGGGAATAGAGAAGGGACTTAGCACACATCCCTGAGGGGCTCCTGTGCTTAATACTAGAGTAGAAGAATAGTAAGGGCCCATTCTCACTGTCTGCGGCCTATCAGTCAGGAAATTCCTTACCCACAGACAGATCTTCTGATGTATACCCAAATTGGTCATTTTAAGAAATAACCTGTCTGGCAGAATTGTATTGAAGGCAGAACTGTAGTCCACAAACAACAGCCTTGCGTAGGTTCCCTGTCGTTCTAGATGACTCAGTACAGTATGGACAGCGATGGAAATAGCATCATCAGTAGATCTATTTCTTCTGTATGCAAACTGGAACGGGTCTAGAGTGGATGGAAGACCAGCCTTAATATGATCTAGCACCAATCTCTCAAAACATTTCATAACGACAGATGTTAAGGCTATTGGTCTATAGTCATTGAGAGATACCACCACTGACTGCTTGGGGACTGGCACTATAATCGATGTCTTCAGGCAGGTAGGGACAGAACCCTGCAACAGGGATAGATTAAAAATGTCCGTAAACACACCAGCTAATTCTGCAGCGCAGTCCCTAATAGCCCGTCCCATGATTCCATCCGGTCCAGCTGCCTTCCTAATGTCAATGCTCCGAAAGGCACGTTGTACGTCACAGGTCTGTAATAAAAATGGTTGTCTATCAGTAGTAGTTTCTGATGATGTGCTGGTAGCCAATGCTGTAGTGACGGTAGTTCCAGTTCCCACCTCAAGGCGACTAAAAAATTGATTCAGTTGATCAGCCAGGTGCGCACTGCTGCTAGCCAGTTCGTTTTTAATATTTTGCCCTGTAATTTGTCGCAGGCCTTGCCATACTCGACGAGGGTCGGAGCTCTCAAAATGTTTTTCGATCCTCCGGCAGTACATAGCTTTGGCGTTCCTAATGCCCTTTTTCAATTTGGCTCTGGCTTCTCTATACTGTTGCGCATCACCAGAGTGAAAAGCAGCATTTCTTGCCTTTAACAGAAGATACACATCCCTGTTTAGCCAGGGCTTGTTGTTAGGGAACACCCGTATTTGTTTGGTGGTAGTGACAACATCAATGCAGCTTTTAACGTAGAACAGTACTGTTGAAGCGTATGTGTCCACATTATTCTCCACAAAGAGCGACCACTCGGTGCTCCGAAAGCAATCTTGAAGTTGCTCAGATGCACCTACTGGCCACACTCGTATCTCTCTAGTTGATGGTCTAATTCTGCGTACGAGAGGTCTATATGATGGTATCATAAGTAAAGATATGTGGTCTGACTGCCCCAAATTGGGCAAGGGCTTGGTCTTGTATCCATGCATGATGTTACTATATACTCGGTCCAGGGTATTTCCCCCCCTAGTGGGACAATCAACATACTGGTGGAACTTAGGGAGCACAGTTCTTAAATCGGCTCGGTTAAAATCACCAGCAACCACAAATGCTCCATCCGGGTGGGCCCGCTGCTGTCTGCTAATAGCAGTCAGCAGGTGGCCCATAGCTGTAGTAGTGTTTGCATCGGGAGGTATATACACCGCTGTTATTATAACAACATTAAACTCACGTGGCAAATAAAAAGGGCGGCACTTCACCACTAGGTACTCCAAGTCAGGAGAGCAATGCGTGTCCATTTGTTTGATGTCCGAGCTCCAGTTGTTATTTATATAAACGCAAATTCCTCCTCCTCTGCTCTTCCCGGATTCGGCGGTTCTATCCGCTCTAATTACTGAGCGTCCTTCTAGCTGCAGAAGTCCCTGTGGAAAGGAGGGATCCAGCCACGTCTCTAGAAGGACCATAACACAGCAGTCCCGGATACTTTTCTGCCGAGAGATAATAAGTTCCAACTCCTCTACCCTGTTGGGCAAGGATCTCACATTTGATACAAGGAGACTTGGCAATGCAGGCTTGTGGGGATTTTTACCTAGCCTCACTCGTAGACCAGCCCTGCAACCCCTCTTCTGCTTGCGTCCCCTCCGTTTCCTTTTCTTTCTGGCAAGGAGAGCAAGGGGAGTATCCCAAGAATGTGCAAAATATGGAGGCTCTCTGATAAGCTCAGCTGGAATGTTATAGGTTGAGACCTCCTGGCTGCAACCTTCTCCTCTGCCGATACTTAAGAGCTCTTGACGACTATAAATTACTTGTGCCTGAGTATTCACAGTCCCTAGCAGCAATAAGTTCACAAGTAAAAATAAAACACAAATCACTGAATACCGGTCTTCGGAGTGCCGAGCCGCTGCAAGTGCTTGCGCCGCCATCTTGCACGATGCTTTCTGGTAAGCTGTCAGTGGGTTACATGACTTCATGGTGTTCTTTTGATGGTCTTTTTAACCAGACCTTGGGATGCCAAGTTCTTGAAATGTTTGCATTGCTTGTTTCCCCCCTTACAGGGCCACGTAGATTTTAGCTATGAAGTCTCACGGTCGTTGTCTGCTTGTCAAGGCGTCTTGCTTGTAGTGGATGCAAATGAGGTAGGGTTTGTAAAGCATTTATCTTTGCTGTCTGAGGTGTGACTGACAACAGTAACTTCTGCCTCATCTTTGTCCTTCTTGGAGCAATGAAGAGTTTCCCTCTCCCAAATGGTTCGAGGGAAGAGTCGTCTATCGTTGTAGATAACTTTTCAGAAATATGGAAAAGACCAGTTAGATTTCCACCACAGGCAGTTCCTGATGAGCCAGTTATGGGACTGTTGGATCCTGTGTGTTGTCCGATATTATGAGTCTCTAGGTGCTACGAGTGCTAGGGATCTTAGCCTACAATCCTAAACACACTTACAATCCTATAGACGTCTCCTCAGGAGCAGGCCCCATTGAGTGCAGTGGGACTTAATAATAATAATTTATTATTTATACCCTGCCCACCTGGCTGGGTTTCCCCAGCCACTCTGGGCGGCTTCCAACAGAATATTAAAATACAATAGTCTATTAAACATTAAAAGCTTCTCTAAACAGGGCTGCCTTCAGATGTCTTCTAAAAGTCTGGTAGTTTTTCTCTTTGACATCTGGTGGGAGGGCGTTCCACAGGGCGGGTGCCACTACCGAGAAGGCCCTCTGCCTGGTTCCCTGTAACTTGGCTTCTCGCAGCGAGGGAACCGCCAGAAGGCCCTCAGTGAATGATGGGGGTGGAGATGCTCCTTCAGGTATACTGGACCGAGGCCGTTTAGAGCTTTAAAAGTCAGCACCAACACTTTGAATTGTGCTCAGAAACGTACTGGGAGCCAGTGTAGGTCTTTCAAGACTTACTCCCAAATAAGTGAGTACTGGATTGCAGCCCACAAGAGACCAAGCCCTACTAGATATAATGAGCCTTCTGAATGAACACTTTGAGTTTCTGCAGATATTACCTTCGCTTGATAACTGGGGTGATAGATTAGGTAACCTGTTATGCTGCGATAGCTCAGCCCGTAGAGCTTGAGACTCTTAATCTTAGGGTCATGAGTTTGAGCCCCATGTTGGGCGAAATATTCCTGCATTGCAGGGGGTTGGACTAGATGACCCTCGTGGTTCCCTCCAGGACTACAATTCTGTGATTCTAACCTCTACTGCTACATAAACAATTTTCCATGACCAGTTGATTTCGTGGGCAGGAGCCTCTCCTAACCTACCTGGCAATTGAAACCTGGGACCTTTTATGTGGAAAATATCTGCTCTGCCTCTCAGCTACGGCCATGTCTTTTTTCCCTTTGGGACAATTTGGGGTGGGGTGGAGAGACTACATTCACAAACTTTCAATTGTTTAATAATGATGTTTTTTTCTAGGGTATTCAAGCTCAAACGGTTGCGAATTTTTATCTTGCGTTTGAAGCACAGCTGTCAATAATTCCTGTTATAAATAAGGTAACACTTGCCACACACAGTATTAAAAATTCTTAGATAACTTTTGACTGTAGAATAGCAACTTGCTCTCAGCACCTCTGAATGCAGTTGTGACAGAGGCCAGCCATGGAAGGCCAAGAGGCCATTCTAGTTGTGTATCATGTCTATAGTTGTCTCTTCCCTGATTTACATCATTCCGTCAACATATACCGTATTTTTCGCTCTATAAGACGCACCTTTTCCCCTTCAAAAATTAAGGGGAAATGTGAGTGCGTCTTATGGAGCGAGTGCAGGTTCCTTGGCTTCAGCGATAGCAACGCAAAGCCTCCGAAGTGCAGAGGGAGAGCTCCCCCTGCGCTTCGGAGGCTTCGCGTTGCTTTCGCTGAAGCTGCCTGAAGCCCCTGGAGTGCAGCGCAAATTCCCGCTGCGCTCCGGGGGCTTCAGGCAACTATCTGCAAGCCTTCGGAGTGCAGCAGGAGTTCCTGCTGTGCTCCGAAGGCTTACGGATAGCCGCCTGAAGCCTGGAGAGTGAGAGGGGTCGGTGCACACCGATCCCTCTTGCTCTCCAGGCTTCGCTTCACTGGAGAGGCACTGCACAGTTTTCCCTCTCTGCGCAGCGCCCCGTCAGCGAAGCGGCAGGAGAAATGGAAGGGGCTCCATTTCTCCTGCCGCTTTGCTGAATGGGAGCTGAGCAGAGAGGGGGAGAATTTTCCCCCCCGATCTCCCCCTCCTGTGGTCCAGTGCGTCCTATGGTCCGGTGCGTCCTATAGAGTGAAAAATACGGCACTTAACTTTTAAGGTCCTTTATGAGCTTCCTCTTTCTTTCCCATGGTTTGTTCATTTGTTTTATTTTTCAGAAATCTCTATACCTGCCAGGGTTAAGGAATAATAATAATAATAATATCACGGCAGTGGACAGCATGAAATCCGCAATGAAATTACATTAGTGAAACAAGTAGCTCACAAATCTGTAGGTCGGATTGATGCATCCACACCAATCCAGCAGGGAAAGCCTGGGATGGGTGAACAAATGAGTTGTAACCAGGTGCCCAAATGCCAATATTGAAATTGCCAGCCTCGTGTTCTTTCAGGACACACGCCAAAGGGTAGGTGCTGCCACACAAGAGGCCCTCCCATCAAATGTCAAGGAAATAAACAACTATCTGACTTTTAGAAGACATCTGAAGGCAGCCTTGTTTAGGGAAGTTTTTAATGTTCGATCTTTTATCGTGTTTTTAGTGTTCTGTTGGGAGCTGCCCAGAGTGGCTGGGGAAACACAGCCAGATGGGCGGGGTATTATTCTTATTCTTATTCTTATTCTTATTCTTATTTATTAGTTATACCCTGCCCATCTGACTGGGCTTCCCCAGCCACTTTGGGTGGCTTCCAACAAAATATTAAAATACAGTAGTCCGTCAAACATTCCTTAAACAGGGCTGCCTTCAGATGTCTTCTAAAAGTCTGGTAGTTGTTTTCTTTGACATCTGGTGGGAGGGCATTCCACAGGGTGGGTGCCACTACCGAAAAGGCCCTCTGCCTGCTTCCCTGTAACTTGGCTTCTCGCAGCGAGGGAACCGCCAGAAGGCCCTCAGCGCTGGACCTCAGTGTCCAGGTAGAACAATGGGGGTGGAGACGCTCCTTCTGGTATACTGGACCGAGGCTGTTCAGGGCTTTAAAGGTCAGCACCAACACTTTGAACCGTGCTTGGAAATGTATTATGATGATGATGATGATGATGAGCATATAGCACTACTAAGTGGTCCCTCTTATTCTTTATATTGTGCTCAATTTAATCTTCTGGGTAGGCCTGCTACTTCTTCAGTGCTGCCTTATCCTTCAGCTCAGAAGTTGCAATTCTGTGGATTTACTTGGGAGTAAGCCCTGCTGAAAACAGTGGCACTTATTTCTGAGTAAACATGCACACGGTTATGCTTCGCATCTGTCTGCTGATGCCGAAAGAAAAACAGAATTTTGAACCTGCTTATTCTGCCCTGCATTTTCTTTTACAAATATTTCAGCTGGTTTTTTGTTTCAGATGTCCATTTTCTGTGGTTTCCCCCTTTATGCATCCCCTCCCCTACCCTTCCCTTTACGTTAGGCAGAGGGTTTGTCTTTTTTAAAATGGTTTGTCCCGTGCCCGGTAATTTTATATGCTTTGTAAATAAAATAGGGTGACAACGAACCCAAGCTTTCCAATATTGTATAAACTGCTCTCAACAAACTCCCATCTTCTTGACTGCAGGTCCCTAGTCTTGTTCTTAAGTCACAAAAACTTCCCAGGTTGCTAGTAAAAGATAAGGAAAGTGCAAATGTAAATGCAGTTCACATTTTTAAAGCTTCTCTCATTTTTGCTCTAACAGAATTTACTTCTGACTTCTCTTACATTGGGTGCATTGTTCCGACAATAACTTTGTTTTCCAGATTGATCTAAAGAATGCAGATCCTAAGCGGGTGGAAAATCAAATTGAAACGGTGTTTGATATCCCCAAAGACGAGTGTATTAGGGTAAGACACCTTTTCTGGTGTATAAATATGTGTGTAGTAGCTGTTGATAAAACTACATGGAAACCTTACCAGGTTATTTTTATTAAATGATTATATTCTCACAGTGCACAGTGTTTACTTAGAATTAAGCTCCATTGAGATAAATGAAACTCAGCACTTCTCCCAGAATAAAGTGCCTTGCTTCCTTCTACTGTAATCATTGAAGAAATGTATTTGCTTACTATTCAGAGTAAAGCATTTTCAAATATAACTGCATGAAGCATAATATATTGAGGTGGCAACAGCTTACTAGTTAGTGTGCGCTGAATTAAGCTCTCTTTCCCTTTTTAATTTGCTTTAGATCTCTGCTAAGCTGGGAACAAATGTCGAAAGAATACTTCAGGAAGTTATTGAACGAATCCCTCCGTAAGTTTATTTTTCTGGCATCTTATATACAGTGGTACCTCTAATTGAATTCACGTATCCTTCGGGATACGTATGCGGCAAACCTGGAAGTATTTTTCCAGGTTTCGCTGCATGCGCAGAAGCGGTCCCTCCGGTTGTATAAACCTCGGGATCTGACCGGAGCTCCAGAATGGATCCCGTCCGCAACCGGAGGTACCACTGTACTATTGAGAAATGGACTGTCTTGCAGTTACGCTGAGCCATCTGCTTGAGCCAGTTACATGTTTGCATCTTTTTAATAATCTCCTTAATTTAGTGAGTTAACATCTCTCTCTCTCTCTCTCTCTCGTTTTCAGTTTTACAATTTAAAATCCTCATTTTACATCCTTATGATATCTATTACTTCCCTTCTTCTCTTTCCATGGTTCATTTTCCATATCATAAATCCCTGCATATTTTACAAAAACTATACCATTCAGTATTCCATTATTGCATCCATCAAAACTTATTTACACTGTTGTCTTAATGCTGCCCATGTTTTCAAGTGTACACAGTCTCCCCCCATATATTCAATAAATATTTTCCCAGTCTTCTCTAAACATATGTTCTTCTTGTTCTCTTATTCTATATGTTAAGTCTGCAAGTTGTGCATATTCTGTCAACCTAAGTTGCCATTCTTCTTTGGTTGGGACCTCGCTCGCTCTCCATTTTGGGGCTAACAAAACATGGGCCGCAGTAGTGGCATACATAAATAACCCTTTTTGAAACCTGGGAATTTCAGTCTGAATTGAATTCTTGATTGAATTCAGATCAGTAGATTTCTCTGGTAAATATAACATGATGATAAAGCAGAAACAAAGGCATTTCAATGTTCTGTGTGCAGTGTGTGTTGCTATTTGCTACAGTAACTGGAACTGTATTTATGCGAGCACTTGGAAAACAGGCATTTGGTATTGAAAAATAACTCTCAGTATGTATTACACAGTAATACATGATATATATGTCTTTCTTATAACAGGCCCAGCGCCAGCACACAGGATCCGTTGAAGGCTTTGGTGTTTGATTCCACCTTTGATCATTACAGGGGTGTGATTGCCAATATTGCACTGTTGGGTGGAGAGGTTCGCAAAGGCCAAAGGATAGCATCAGCTCATACGAAAAAGGTTTATGAAGTTAATGAAGTGGGAATTCTGAAACCCAACGAGCAGCCAACGCACAAATTGTAAGTTGCAAGCGTTTGAAATGAATCAGAAACTCTTATTTGTTTGGCCTTTCTCAATATCCGTATCAGAGTTTCCCAAACTTGGGTCTCCAGCTGTTTTGGGGACTGCAGTTCCCAGCATCCCTGACCGCTGGTCCTGCCAGCTAGGGATGATGGGAGTTGTAGTCCAAAACCAGCTGGAGACCCAGGTTTGGGAAACCCTGATCTGGATTCCTACTGCCAGCAGCAGTAAGACTGATTTCCCATCAGCTTTGCACTTTCCTTTGGCAAAACACAGAGCGGAAGCATCTTCTTGCTTAGCTCAGCGTGGGGAAGTGGCTAATGGCATTTTATAGGTAAAGGACCCCTGGACGTTTAAGTCCAGTCAAAGGCGACTATGGGGTTGCAGCGCTCATCTCGCTTTCACGCCGAGGGAGCCGGCGTTTGTCCACAGACAGCTTTTTGGGTCTTGTGGCCAGCATGATGAAACCGCTTCTGGTGCAATGGAACACCGTGACGGAAACCAGAGCGCACGGAAACACCATTTACCTTCCTGCCATAGCGGTACCTATTTATCTACTTGCACTGGCATGCTTTCAAACTGCTAGGTTGGCAGGAGCTGGGACAAAGCAATGGGAGCTCACTCCATTCAAACCACGACCTTCTGATCAGCAGACCCAAGTGGCTCAGTAGTTTAGACCACGACGCCACTTGTGTCCCATGATGGCATATAGGAGCTGTTTCATGGTGCCTCTGTCCCAGGACAAAGCACTGTTGACTGACTAATGTATTTTTAATCTTTGCTGGAAGCAAACCTAGCAAGATGGGCGGGGTGCAAATAAATTATTATTATTGTTGTTGATGTTGTTGTTGTTGTTGTTATTACATTAACATTTCAGGCAAGAGTAAAATGCTCTGCTTCCTGTCCATTTGCCAAGGCTGTGCAGCAAGTTTTGTAAAGATTGCAGCACACAAATATGGGGAAGAGGATTTGACATAATTGTAGGCATTTGATAATGTGCGATTAAATCCCTAAACAGCTTCTTCTTGCCAAGAAAAAAGGCTTGAAATATCTAATGTGATAAATATTTCCGCATGATGCTGGTTTCATTTAGATATGCCGGCCAGGTTGGCTATCTCATTGCTGGAATGAAAGAGGTCAAAGAGGCCCAAATAGGAGACACAATCTATTTGCATAACCAACCAGTGGAGCCATTGCCCGGGTTTAAGTCGGCAAAACCCATGGTCTTTGCAGGTGAGGCACACACATTCAATGACAGGAAGTACTTTCATGTTTACTTATACCGGTAGAGTGCTTAGGTGCATTTAGGAATCGTCGTTAACCGTAACAGGAACGCCATGGATCCCTGTATAAATTGTACCCCTGTTACAGCACCAACACTTTTTTGTGCTCAGAAACATACTGGGAGCCAATGTAGTTCTTTTAGGACTGCTGTTATATGGTCCTGGCAGCCGCTCCGAGTCACCAGCCTAGCTGCTGTATTCTGGATTCATTGCAGTTTCCGAATCACCTTCAAAGGTAGCCCCACGTAGAGCGCAGAATCTTCTTGTTGACCATGCTTTCATTTTGTGTTTATGGTGGGTTTCTGTAAATTAGGTGAGGTGGTGCTTCAGTGCCCGTCAAGATCACTGCTTATTACAACAGTGGCTTTAGAGCCAGTGTGGTGAAGTGGTTAAGAGCAGTGGACTCGTAATCTGGTGAACCGGGTTTGATTCCCCGCTCCTCCACATGCAGCTGCTGGGTGACCTTGGGCCAGTCACACTTCTCTGAAGTCTCTCAGCTCCACTCACCTCACAGAGTGTTTGTTGTGGGGGAGGAAGGGAAAGGAGAATGTTAGCCGCTTTGAGACTCCTTAGGGTAGTGATAAAGCGGGATATCAAATCCAAACTCTTCTTGGGAAAGGTGGTTTATTTTTTGTTGACAGAATAGTGATTTTGTACAGGCTTGTGAATCGCTATGCCTTTTCACAGTTATTCAGATAAACGGCTTTACTTGATCAGATTTAATTTCAAGGAATGATTTCCTCGCATGGATGGGTACCTTCGAAAATTTCAGTCAGTTTACTCTGATGGAAAACTTCCAGGAGGAGAATATTTTTGAGACTTCCTTATGTTCATGCAATTGATCTTTCTCTTCCCCTCCTCCCAGAAGAGAAGGATAAGTTATTCAAGCTGCCTACTGCTCAGTCAACCACTGAATCCAGCCCTTATGTGGAACAAGACTGAAGACTGATAATTTAAGAACCTGGTATATTATTTGTGGGCTGGCACCTGTCTCCTACAGAGAAGAAGAAGAAGAAGAAGAAGAAGAAGAAGAAGAAGAAGAAGAAGAAGAAGAAGAAGAAGAGTTTGGATTTGATATCCCGCCTTTCACTCCCTTTAAGGAGTCTCAAAGCGGCTAACATTCTCCTAAGAAGCGTCTTAAGTGGTTCTAGAGAAAATGCTGGATGAAATATATGAGGATCAGCTGCCTTTATCAGCCAAGTTCTGTGTTGTATTGACAGGAATGTACCCAGTAGACCAGTCGGAATATAACAACCTGAAAAGTGCTGTAGAAAAACTGACTCTTAATGACTCCAGTGTTTCTGTTCATCGTGATAGCAGCCTTGCCTTGGGAGCCGGATGGAGGTGAGACTTGCAATATTCAATCTTCAGCGCCACAAAGCACAAACATTTTCTCTTGATTTCCTTTGGCCAGGAAGTTTAACATGCTTAGTTGGTGCTTTTTTGGGGGGGCGGGGACATATTTTTTAGCACTTTGTGATTGACAGGGAAGATTGAGTACCATGTAAACGTTGCATTTACAGGTTGGGCTTTCTCGGCCTTTTACATATGGAAGTTTTTAATCAGCGTTTGGAACAAGAGTACAACGCATCTGTCATTTTGACAGCACCCACCGTACCCTATAAAGCTGTTCTTTCCTCAGCAAAATTGATAAAGGTAATGGTATGGTTTTGATTTGGCTTTTTGAAATCGGGGAGGGGCCATTCTGACTTTTTTTTACCTTCTGTAGGAACATGGAAAAGAGGTGATCACCATAATAAATCCTGACAAGTTTCCTGACAAGTCAGTAGTGGCAGAATACTTGGAGCCTACAGTTTTGGGCACTATCATAGCACCTGATGAATATATTGGAAAAATAATAAGTCTATGCCAGGTTAGTGAATTTTTTTTAAGCTTGGGTCTCCTTTCTGCCTTCAGGGTTGAGATGAAATGAGGCAGTTTTAATTTTAACGAGCCAAAAGTTAATTTTAACGGGTCGGTCACACTCTTAGAGAGCCACTTGTCTGCTGAAGAACCTCCCCTATTGCAGAGGATTCTGGGGGATATTCTTTGTTAACATCGGTCAAGTATCTTGAGCCTCCTTTTCCCCGGTGTGAACTGAGCGTTTGCTCTAGAATATGTTCAACCCGCAATGCAGAGAACATCCATGGTGGCAAGCAAGTTTTTCAGAAAATGCAGGTTCCTCACAAGAGAGTTTGGAAAGCCAGGAACATGTTTGATTTGGCCAAGCACATTCACATGGATTAACTCGCCATGTGAAGTTGTTCAGAGCTGTTAGCCTGTTTTATCCCAGTAATCCTTATTACAACCCTGTGAGGCACTAGGCAGCTTCATTCCAGATTGGAAACCGAGCTGAAGTAACAGTGGCTGGCCTAAGGCTATATATTCAGTTTGTGACGGAGATGAAGTTTCAGCTGACAACTTCCCGGCTCTCAGCGCTCAGACTCTAAGCCACTGAAGTACTCTGTCTCTTCAAATAAAATCCATGTATATGTATAAATTGGTTGAGAGGAAGTTACACGCATCAGAGTTATTCATTTAACTGGTTAACTGATTAAATGAACAAACGTGGATTTCAAATATGGAATTGGTTGATAAATATGTTTAGGCTTATGCAGCAACAGGAGATATTATATATATATATATATATATGAAAATCCTTATGGCTGAGTTTTATAGCATGGAGACACTCAGTTGGTTGTCTTGTCCAATGACTTCTCTCAAACAAAACATCCTTTACAAATGTTTGTTTGATCACCAAGAGAGAAGATGCCACCGCTACCTTAGGCTTCTTGCTGCAGTGCAGAACTTCCTAGATTAAGTGCAGTTTCTTCTAAGGTTCATACTAAATCTGATGTACTATAATCTATTTCTTGTCTTATCCTCCGTGGATAGGATGTTTCGTTTCCCTTCTTTGTACTAAGAGCCTTAAAAATATTTTATGGTAGTCAACCAGTTCTCCAGATTATCGAGGCTCAGCACAGCAAAAAAAGAAAAGAAAAGAAAAGATGGGACTTTGTCCTAACTAGCTTGCCATCTTAAATTACAATTTATTTCACTCTGTACAACTTGGTCTCCTGAAGCCATTTCTCACCCAGCAGGCAAAGTTATAGGAGATCAAGCAAAATAGCTTTACATTACAGTGGTACCTTGGTTTATGAACTTAATTTGTTCCAGAAGTCTGTTCTTAAACCAAAGCATTCTAAAACCAAGGCGTGCTTTCCCATAGCCACGGGGGACTCAACTTACAAATGGAACACACTCAACAGGAAGCGAAACACGTTCTGCTTCCAAGGCAAAGTTCACAAACCAAAACACCTACTTCTGGGTTTGCAGTGTTCTCAATCCAAGTTGTTCATAAACTAAGCCATTCTTAAACCAAGGTACCACTGTATTTTCATGAAACTGTTGGTACCTTAGCAATAAGAAAAGTGAGTAGTCGGGAGAAAGACCTACAGAAGAATGTGCAAACAAGATGAAAAAATAAATATCTATTCCATAAAGAAACACTGGAGCTTTTATTGCTTAGTTATGTTAATTTGCCAGGTCCCAGTAATATCGGTCCTTCAGTTTAAAATTCACCCATCATGTTTTAGAATGGAATATTTACTGAAGATTTATATCATGAGAAATTCTAGTTGACTGTCAAAACTATTGTGTTGCTTGCCAGACTCGAAGGGCTATTCAGAAGGACCTAGTATACATTGATGACCACAGAGTCATGATGAAATATTTCTTTCCACTAAATGAAATTGTCGTTGACTTCTACGATGCTCTGAAATCCCTCTCATCTGGATATGCCAGGTACAGCAATGTATTTTTTTAAAAAAAATAAAATTAAGTGGGACATTCATTATTTGTTGGGTTTTCAGAATTCCAGTTGTACTCAGTCCCCACTGAATTTCAAGGTTTTGCAGAAGAGGTGGAGTCTCTCCAAAGTGCATGAAATAATAATAATAATAATTTTACCCCACTCATCTGACTGGGTTGCCCCAGCCACTTGAGGAATACAATGGTTTTGCCTCCATTGTAGGGCAGAATGGGCAAGTTTATGCATCTTGCAGGACCATTCTATACATGTCTGCTCTGAAGTAAGGCCCATTGAGTTCAGTGGGACTTCTTTGCAAGTACATGTGTATGCAGACTATTCCTCAGGTTTCCCTGCGACATGTTTGAGGACAAATAGGTGGGGGAGGCTGTCTTTAAGGCCTTGTGGGACATAAGCAGGTTATTTCCTTTCTGCACTATTTTAAGTCCTCTAGCAAACGCTAGTAAACACTGGGAGAATATTTTGAAAGGGGGAAAACCCTCCTGAGAAGATTATTTCAAGGACAGTCAAACCTCGGTTCCCGAATGCCTCCATTTTCGAGCGTTTCGGCTCCCGAACACCGAAAACCCGGAAGTAAATGCTCCGGTTTTTGAATGTTTTTTGGAAGCTCCTGCAGCCAATCAGAAGCCATGCCTTGGTTGTCGATCGTTTTGGAAGTCAAACGGTCTTCTGGAACGGATTACGTACAACAACTGAGGTTTGACTGTATAGAAATGGAAGAGCAATGACTTATCAGATCGGTGTCTAGACAACTGGGTGAATTTAATATACCAAACTGGGAATAGATCTATATCTATATGTGATTAAGAATAGGCCATGTATTTATTGTTATTTGCAAAGGGGACTTTTTTTTTCTTTTTTACTGAGGGACAACAAACCTGTATCTTTATTTGAAGAATTAATGCAAATATTATATTAAAAACACTGTCTTTAAAAAGCCGAAGCCATTTTGAGTGATGAATTTAATGTTCTCCCCCCCCCTTCAGTTTTGACTATGAAGATGCAGGATACCAGCCTGCGGATCTTATCAAAATGGATGTTCTTTTAAATGGGAACCCTGTAGAAGAGCTCATAACTATTGTTCATAAGTAAGTAAACTAAAAATGCAGCCCTAGTCTGCAGAGGGTATCTTTAAGAGATGGTATGGGTGGGTGTTCAAGAAAAGTATGTGGTGGAAGAATGATTAGTCCCTAAACTCTGCTGGATTTACACTGACTTAGGGCAGAAAGTGGGACGCGGGTGGCGATGTGGTCTAAACCACTGAGCCTCTTGGGCTTGCTGATCGGAAGGTCGGCAGTTCGAATCTCCGCAATGGGGTGAGCTCCCGTTGCTCAGTCCCAGCTCTTGCCAACCTAGCAGTTCGAAAGCACATCAAGTGCAAGTAGATAAATAGGTACTGCTCCAGCGGGAAGGTAAACGGTGTTTCCGTGCGCTGCTCTGGTTCGCCAGAAGTGGCTTAGTCATGTTGGCACATGATCCAGAAAAACTGTCTGTGGACAAACGCTGGCTCCCTCGGCCAGTAAAGCGAGATGAGTGCCGCAACCGCCGAGTCGTTCATGACTGGACTTAACTGTCAGGGGTCCTTTACCTTTTAGGGCAGAAAGCAGGCTCACTTTTTTCCTTGTAGCCCAGGGGTCTGCAACCTTTAAGACAAAAAGAGCCACTTGGACCCGTTTCCGAACGAAAAAAAAACTGGGAGCCGCAAAACAAGCCAAATGTAAATAACCACACATTCTTCCCCTTCCCCCATTCTCTCTTTTCCCTGAGTCTATTTCAGATAGCAAAGAGGGGTATGGTACCTCTCATATCCATTTTTTGCAAAGCACCATGTGCATAGAGGGCATTATACAAATTAATACATAGAAAAGTGTCTGTCCCTCCCTGCAGTTCAACTCCCTCTCTTTTTACTAACAGCACATATCCATTCCTTCTGCTATTGCAACTTTCTCATCATTTCTACATAGCAGCATTTATAAACCAGTGCCAGAGAAACTGGGTGAAAGGAAGGTGAGAGGGAAGAGATATGAATATTTATGTGTGTATATGCATACATACACCTACACAATTACAGGTTTGAAGCCAACTTAAAATAAAAAGACCTGGTAAGCAAAGGAATCTGTGGTGCTTTCCATGGGATCCAGGGACATGTCAGCTAATACTCTTCCCTTTCTTCTTCATTTGCTTGTCTCTGCAGCAAATCTCGAGGGGGAAGGGAGAAGGGCAGGAATTGCATAGGCACGAGAGAACGGGGGAAATCCTGCACCTGCTGGCTACCTCTGGACCCCCTCCTCGTCACTGACGGAATTCACCCCTTCCTCCCTGACAGGGAGGGCGGGCCCATTTTGTGGTTCACCTCAGGTGCTCTCCCTCAACTCGGCGGCCACTCAGAAGCAAGGCACGGAAAAGGATCCCGAAGTACCACTGCCACCCCTCACACACACAAAAACCCCGCCCCGCCATTTCCCTCGAGCGAGCGCGCTCTCTCTCCCTCGCCTCAGGTGCCTCGCGCGCGGGGCTGAGGAGAGCGTGGCCTGGGAGAGCGTTCCCCCTCGCCGCCGCCGCCACCCGCCCTACCCCGGGGGAAGCTATGAGCCATGAAGCCGCCTGGCAGAACTTCCCTCCGGCGGCAGAAGCAGCAGCAGCCCTTCTCCGGCCGCCGCCGCCTCCTCCTCCATCCCAGCAGCCGCCGCCTCTCGAGCTCCGCTGACGCCGCCGCCTTGCTTTGCCCGGCTCGGCTGCCCAGCTCCATCCCCCTCCTCTTTCTGGCGCGTCTGCTTTTCTGCTCAGGGTCCCCGAGGATCTGCGGAGCCGCGGCAAAGGTGTAAAAGAGCCGCATGCGGCTCCGGAGCCGCGGGTTGCCAACCCCTGTTGTAGCCAGTTTTTCTAAAACCCCATTGATTACATTGGGAGGGCCTCACTTATCAGGTCCATGTTGGAAGTAATGGGAAGGCTTGTGGATCTAAGCCAACCCTTGACCCCGCTGACAGCAGAGGAATAATAGAAAATGCCACTGGAAAGCCCACAGTATCTTCTGACCCCTTTCAGGTACCATAGGATTGTGCCTGAAGTGCAATTTCCTGCTTTTGGTTACATTCCCAAAACTACCTGTTTGAATTTTCAGTTTCATTGTACAGGTTGGTGCTGTTCCAGTACAACACGAGTTCTTCATTTCAGCGGTTCTGTTTCATTGTGGAACATTAATCCTTCTCCCCTTTATATAGTTAAATGGAAAAATCTAATTGCAAACCTTGTTTTACACTTTGACATCCCGGTCTTTTCCTTTTTTTTTTTTTTTTTTTTAAGGGACAAAGCATACACTGTTGGGAAAGCTCTGTGTGAGCGTTTAAAAGACGTTATCCCAAGACAGCTATTTGAGATAGCTATTCAGGCAGCTGTTGGGAAAAAAGTCATTGCGAGAGAAACGTGAGTTGTTTTGTGTTTTGCTTTGCTCTAAAAAAGTCATTTGTTAGAGAAGTGCTAGTATTGCAAACCGAATAAAAGTCCCTCCCCTCCCCCTTTTATCACTTGTAACTATTAAAGTTGTTTCCAATATTTACTTGAGAAGATGACATTCTAGTCCAGGCATAGGCAAACTCGGCCCTCCAGATGTTTTGAGACTGCAATTCCCATCATCCCTGACCACTGGTCCTGTTAGCTAGGGGTGATGGGAGTTGTAGTCCCAAAACATCTGGAGGGCCGAGTTTGCCTATGCCTGTTTTAGTCTCTTTAAAGGTTACAACTAAAGTAAAAATCACTGTGGTCTTTCATTTAGGCTACTCACTTCAAGAGCATTTCAGATTAGTCTCCATTCGTTCTAGCGGATGCCAGCTTTATTTCAGAGACGGCATCCAGACAAAGGATCTGCGTGAAAATCTCAGCATACAAGGATATTGGAACGAGAGCTGTTCACAAAGACCCCCTGGATCCAGGCCGTTTCGTAACTTTAAAGATCAGCACTTTGCCTTTAGCCTGGAGACTAACCAAAATTTTGACTTTCTTAAAGAGGTATATCTTGTGCCTTAGGTGGCTGGTATTAGTCTGCAATTGCAATCTGGATCACCAGAAATTTCTGAACTGTCTGAAAGGGTAGTCCCACATAGAATGCAGAATATGGAGCAGAGTTGAGGCAGTAACCAAATAACTTCCCATTCCAAATTAAAGGAATGGTCTCACGAAAGGAAATATATTTCTGTCATACCACTTTGTAATTAGGAAGCGCATAGCAGACTACAGTGGTACCTCGGGTTAAATACTTAATTTATTCCGGAGGTCCGTACTTAACCTGAAACTGTTCTTAACCTGAAGCGCCACTTTAGCTAATGGGGCCTCCTGCTGCTGCCGCGCCGCCGGAGCACAATTTCTGTTCTCATCCTGAAGCAAAGTTCTTAACCTGAAGCACTATTTCTGGATTAGCGGAGTATGTAACCTGAAGCGTATGTAACCTGAGGTACCACTGTATTAGAATTCTCTCCAATTTTCCTCTTGGATATGGGAAAAGTAGCCATGGAGTAAGGCTGACACCCAGTGGTTAAAATGAACTAGAAAATATATTTCATTTGAGGCCACATGCCGATTATTGAGTTGCCTTTTGTGATATACCACGAGGTGACATCATGTAACATTTTTGCAGGGCATCTTGTGAAAATGCACTTTGGTTTAAGCACTGAAACTTATTTCTTCCAGAGTGAAAGCTTATAGAAAAAACGTCCTGGCAAAATGTGTAAGTGTCATTCTTTTCTTTTCTGTGGGGCAGAGAGAGACTGTCTGATAATCACCTTCCTTTTCCTTTGGTAACGTCTGGTGATTGTAGAATCATGCCCTCCCCCTTGGTTTTTTGCTTCCTCTATTGTAGGTACTGGTGCTAAGCTATATACTCCTGCTTTTCTGTTATGTTTTAGGTTCATGTTGGTACATGCACATTCAGTAAAAATGACAAGTTTGCTTTTGGTGGCAGTTCCACAGTGTGTGAAGTTAAGAGATCTGGTTTTTATAAGAGTTGTGCCACTTATTTCACCCAGAGCTCAGGGTAGCAATTTTACATTTATCTGTCTTTTTAGTTGCCTTGGGTACTTGAAAAACAGTAGAACTGTTTTGACCAGAGTATGCCAGCCAGTATTATAGATATTCATATTGTAAAACACAGAGAAAATAACCTGTTTGTTTCCCTTTAAACAGTACGGAGGAGATATTACACGGAAAATGAAGCTATTAAAGCAGCAAGCTGAGGGAAAGAAGAAGTTGAGGAAAATCGGAAACGTGGAAGTGCCAAAGGATGCCTTCATAAGTGTTCTAAAGAGACAGACTGACAAGTAGTTGGAAGTCCACAATTACGGATTTTTTTAAAGTAAACGTTTGACAGACTAGTGTTTACAATGTGGATGCCCTGTCTGGAATCCGATATATCCTGTGTGTACATACGGCTCAAGACTCTGAAATGTCATGAATGTAAATGTACACTTTTGACAAGTGTTCTGATTTCAAGAACGTTTATAAATGACGAGTAGCTAGAAAGCCTGCAACTCTTTAAAAAATCATTCTGGCTGGTAATCAATTTTTTTGATGGCGTTATGATCCCTCAACTTATCAGCCGCCATAACTTCGCACACCATCTTTTATTCCATGTGCATTCCTGACATGCTCTGATCGTAGAATTGGACGGGGCCCCAAGGGTCATCTAGTCCAACCCCCATTGCAATGGAGCAATCCCGCCCACAGCCATCCTTGGGTGGCCTCGAACCTCCAACCTTCTGGTTAACAGCCAGACACGCTGATCCACTGCACCACAGAGGTCCTTAGTGAAGCGCATTATGTACAGTAGAGGCAGCGACCATTTTGCACAGGGATTCCATCCCTGGCCCCTGTGCGCATTGGCAGAGCGAGTATAAGCCTGTTCCTCCCTCTCCTAGGTCCAAAAGGACCTGTGCACCAGTGGTTGTGCATCAATTGAATTTTAGACAGCATAATAGCTATGTGAAGCTTTACTTAAGCTAGAATTACAAGAGTGTGGCATTCTTATGGAAAGTTAACAACAAGGAGGTCATACTTTGAGATGTGTATAATTCAGTTAACCCTCAAAAATCTAGCTTCGTTTAATGAAACTGAGTGTTATAGCAGAAAGACAAAGATATACATACACACACCTCATGGCTGTCCAAGTTCATATTCAAGGTGCCAAATAATTTCCTTGCTATTTTTGCTGCAAAAGGCCAATATTGGCTACACCTCCAGAATTCAACAAAACATGACCAGCAGTTTAGGGATGAAAAGTCTTTCACCTTATTTCTGTGCCCCATGCGGATTCCCAGGTGTAGATTTTAAGGCACGCAGCTGCTGAGGTTTAGGTCTGACAGTTATGTGCAAGTCTCTCAAAGTAAAGTGCTCAATTACCAGTTTGTAGGTTGAAATTACACAGCCCGTGACAAAAAGAACTTTTATATATACTTGAATTTACACAGAGCTCTCCTCCTGTAAACAGCTTGTCTAGGGCTACCTTTAAAGTCTGGACTACTCTTCCATTGGCTTCCAGTAGCATACAGGTAGCGTGTAACAGGCAAAAAAGATCTGGACAAGAAAGCAGAGAACAGTGCTTGTAACAGTGCTAAGAGGAATGTATGTTTGCACATTTGGACCTTTCGAACAAAGACAAAACCCCACAGTACTCCATTTAGATTCTCCATTTTAGCCAGTATTCCAGCATATTGCATAGCAGTACATTCATCTGCTACCTAAAACCACTGCCAGGGTCAGCCAGACGAGTCCAACTTTGATCTCTCCCTCAGTTTTGCTCTTTCATACTGTAAAGTGGGTCCACGAGTTTGTTGTGCACATGCATTAAACCTTGAGAAAAGAGAATCGACATTAGCAAGACTTCAGTGTAGATAAACTCGTTCTATGTCTTTTCTTATCCTCTCTATCAACAGGCTGTGGAATCCAGCTCCCGTTTATTGGGGGCCAATTGTCAGGGAAGGGAATAATAACAGTAAAGACAATACCAATAAACTGCAGTACTAATAGGCAAATTTGCACTTCAAGGTTCAAGAATCATGACATTGTAAAGCTGGAAGGGTGAGGTCAAACTACCAACCTGGCTAACAGCCAGACGCACTGGCCCACTGTACCCCTAAACACCCCATCAAGGAATAAATTGCTGTGTGTGTGTGTGTGTATTAAAAAAAACAAGTAAACCATTATTCCTTAAAATAACTTGGGAACAGGGGAGACTTCACTGGCAGAAGCCTGGTGTACAAATGCAGCTCACCTTTAAAATACTTGACTGTTTTAACTCTTAGTTCTAAGGTGGCGTCTTCATCACATACAAAGATAGTGTGAGGATGTTGCTGAAAAGCAGAAACTGTCCACATGTGATTGACCCCCTCCTCAATTGCCTTGTACAAGGCAAAAGCTTTGTGCGCGCCAGTGATTAGAATCATCACCTGGAAGAAAAAAGCACCATCATTATGCTAAGGAAGATCTGCAGACAGTTGTTGTTACGGCCGATAACAACATGAACTTTGTTGGACTGGTCATGTGCGGATGCCTGATGATCGTCTTCCAAAGCAACTACTCTATTCCGAACTTAAAAATGGAAAGCGTAATGCTGGTGGTCAACAAAGGCGGTTTAAAAACTGTCTCAAGGCAAATCTAAAAAAAAGTAGTATAAACACCAACAATTGGGAAACACTGGCCTGCGAGCGCTCCAGTTGGAGAACAGCCTTTACCAAAGGTGTCATGGGCTTTGAAGACACTCGAACTCAGGATGCAAGGGAGAAACGTGCTAAGAGGAAGGCACGCTTGGCAAATCCACACCGTGATCAACTCCCACCCGGGAACCAATGTCCCCACTGTGGAAGGACGTGTGGGTACAGAATTGGCCTCCACAGTCACTTACAGACTCACTGTTAAAATCCGTGTTTATGGAAGGCAATCTTACTCGGCTACGAGTGATCGCCAAAGAAGAAGAAGAAAGAAGATGGCAGATATTAAGCACACATTTCCTACTGACACTGTGTTATGCTTCTGTAAGAAGACACTGCCAAAGTCGACCTTGTACAGGCAGTAGAGGACATAAACTTGACGGGATTGAGATGGAGAAGTGTGTCCCCGTTCAAATAAAGTAGTCCACCTAAAGGCTGCACTGTAATTGGAGAGAGAAAAATATTTTGTCCTCTACAATCGCAGTGTTTCTCAAAACTTGGGTCTCCAGCTGTTGCTGGACTACAACTCCCATCATCCCTAGCTAGCGGGACCAGTGTGAAACAGCAGCATCTATTTTACTGAGATTACATGCATTATCGGCTCAAGAGGAAGCTAAATCTAGAGAGTTTTATTTTATTCCGTTCAATCAGGATGTTAATTGACAGTAAGAAGGATACTAATGGACTGGGAATAAAATTACAACTCTAGCACCTTGTCCAACTTTGGAGGAAAAAATTGTTTACCAACATCATCAGTTACACCGCACAAAATAAATAAACATGCATTATTAGCACAGAATGTTTGTAGCAATGATTCACTTTGCAATTCCATTGTTTTGCAATGAAATGGACTTGCTATGCTTCACAGGTACACTTCTTATCTAAAAGCAACAAACTACAAAAATATCCAGAAGAGAAAGAAAAATATTCTTACTTCTCTAGCATCCATCACGGTTCCCACGCCAACTGTTAACGCCATAGTAGGAACTTTAGCCAAATCTCCATCAAAGTATTTTGCATTTGCCAGAATGGTGTCCATTGCTAGCGTCTTCAATCTCGTTCTTGATACCAAACTTGAGCCCGGTTCATTGAAAGCTATGTGACCATCTGGACCAATGCCTTGAAAGAGCACACACAAGGAAGACAATGTAGATGGGAATGTCTGGTAATACTAAATAACTTTATGCAGCAGTAGATTGGTGTCATTCATTCTCAGCTATAGTTGATAGTTTGCTTTTGAGAGCATCAGAACAACACTAAGCACATCTTTATCTTGGTAGTTTAGTTCATAAGATGTGCTCCAAACTGCAAGTTGAACAACTCTGCAGCACAGCACTGAGCGCATATGTAATATAAACAGATGGTGTTTATTATGAGCCAAACTAACAGGCTACTCCCACTATGTTTAATAAACTATTCCAACTATTTTTATTCCATCCAGATACTTTTATTAGGTTGCAATTCCCCCCACTTGCCTGAGAGTAAATCTTATTGAACTCAATGGGATTATTCAGAGTAGACCTGCATACAGAATTTTGTCTGGTAATTATGCATTACTGATTTGAGCGCTCACTGAAAAACACCTTTTTTGCCACCACTGTTGAATAATATATATATATATTTTACCTCCAACAAATAAATCTATTCCGCCAGCTTCCTCTATCTTTTTTTCAAACGCATCACACTCTGCCTTTAGATCGGCAGCATTTCCATCGAGAATATGAGCGTTATTTGGATCTATATCAATATGCTTGAAAAAATTGTTCCACATGTAAGAATGGTAGCTTTCTGGGTGACTTCTGGGAAGCCCTGGAACAAAAGATTCAACACAAATGCTAATTTAGTTATCCAATTACTGGACTGCAAACAATTTTTCTAGGTTTACATGGCATACATGTAAACCACCCAGTCCCACCCTATTCTGCAAAAAAACATTGAAGACAAACCTACCCACATATTCATCCATATTGAACGTCTTCACATACTTGAAAGAAAGGTCTCCTCTTTTGTGATATTCTATCAGTTTTTTGTAACATCCCAGAGGTGTACTTCCTGCAAGAAGCAAGTTCTCATTATTTCATGCACTCTGAAAAAAAATACCTTCACTGTAGTCACAAATTGCAAAATAATCACAAATCCAGTTGATCTCTAAATCTAGGTTTGAAGAGCAGTTGTTGAGTATACGTGCAGCAAAACCTCAATTTATACCTTCCAGTATTTCACAAATGGAAATAGGACATGTGTTTACTTACACTATGTGTCTTTCTCTCTTAACATCCACCTTTTATTACTAGTAAGGTAAAAAAGGTAAAGGACCCCTGGACGGTTAAGTCCAGTCAAAGGCAACTATAGGGTTGTGGCGCTCATCTTGCTTTTGGGCCAAGGGAGCCAGTGTTTTTCCATAGACAGCTTTCCGGGTCCTGTGGCCAGCATGACTTAAAACACTTCTGGTGCAGTGGAACACCATGACAGAAACCAGAGCGCACAGAAATGCCGTTTACCTTCCCGCCACAGCAGTACCTATTTATCTACTTGCATTGGCATGCTTTCGAACTGCTAGGTTGGCAGGAGCTGGGACAGAGCAACGGGAGCTGACCCCGTCGCGGGGATTCGAACCGTCAACCTACAGCAGTAACCCAGAGAAGCAGGAAGATAAATACTTGTTGCAGCAACTTGCTGGTCACAGGACTGGACAAGTTGCCAAGCTAGGTGTAGAACTGTCATGCAATAGCGGAAGAAGTGTACATGCACACGAAAGCTCATATCAATAACAAACTTAGTTGGTCTCTAAGGTGCTACTGGAAGGAATTTTTTTGTTTGTTTGTTTGTAAATACAGTGTGTGACTAACTGGACCACACTGCTTTCCTTTTTATGGACAGCTTTCCAATACAGCAGAAAACAAACTAATACATCTGGGAAAAATTTAAAATGGTATCACACATACCTACACAAAAGCAAAAGAGAAAGAGTGATTTAGGAATCGTCTTTGAAAAAACAGGAGCAGTTGGAAGATACTATCCCAAATCAATGATTACTCTAAAAGTAATCACGGCTACTTTTACAGTAACAGCTGTCTACTGGTTATTATAGAGATACACTACCTCCAAGATCAGAGGCCACATGACTCGGGCTTCCAAAAGACATCTCTGGTTGGTAAGCAGGCTGCCAGATTAGACATGCCCCTGATCTGACGCAGGGCTTTTATTAGGTTTTTCTTCTATGCAGTTCAAATGCATGTCAAAGTGCAAGCAGATAAATAGGTACTGCTCCAGCGGGAAGGTAAATGGCGTTTCCGTGCGCTGCTCTGGTTCACCAGAAGTGGCTTGGTCATGCTGGCCACATGACCCGGAAGCTGTATGCCGGCTCCCTCAGTCAATAAAGCGAGATGAGCGCTGCAACCCCAGAGTCGGCCATGACAGGACCTAATGGTCAGGGGTCCCTTACCTTTATTCGATGCACATTTTTTTAGAAGCTAGTCAGTACACATACAGGATTGCAGACCACCTGCTCCCCACAAAAAACTCCTAGGCACAGGTGATTCTCAAAGCTGGCTTGCTCTGGAGGCTCCACAGAGACAGAATCTGCTCCTCTGCATGTAATGCATCCAGAAAAGAAACCTTTCACTAGAAGTCCAGAGTCAGCAGTTGTTGGAAGGTGCTCCTACCATTCTTACTCCTGCCTTCAAAAGCCAGGGACCCGTTGTCGCTACACGAAGTTCAAGGCTTCTAGCCATCTTTTTCGGCAGTCACTAGCTCTCCCCCCTCACCCTTCTTTCCATAACAGACTCACTCTGGAGAGCAGGAAGAGAAAGAAATCAACATATGAACTAACCCTTGCTCAGAAGCAAGCCCCACTGAACCGTGTGGTAGCTGGCTCTGAGTAAACCTGGTCAGGACCTTGCTGAAACTTTTAAAATGTGCTACTTTCTTGCTGCATGAATGTGTAACAAAACTTCAAAAGCCATTTTCATCAGGCTACTCTGGGAGCAGGCAAATTGCAGTACATGTGTGTATGTGCACCTGTCATTTTCCATTCGAAAAATGAATCTGGATCCTGTGGAGGGGGGTGGTTTGGAGGAGTTGGAAAAGAAAAACATCCTATGTTCTTTCCTTTACAGCCCCTCCTGAGACTATTGGGCTTTCTGTCATATGTGTGTATCTGTGAACCCACTTTAACTGCGTTAAACAAATAAGGGAAGTGAGAATAGAAAGCAGGATGAGGGAGGAACTCACAAGCCTGGCCGGAAGGAAATTATCCCACAACAATACGCAGGCAGTTGAAGGATGAACAGTGGCTTCCTGCACAGCGCAGGGTCATGTTCGGTGCCCACTTGTAGAGTTGGAAGGCATTCCGAAGGTCATCTAGCCCAACCATAGCTGTCAACGTTTCCCTTTTTTAAAGGGAAATTCCCTTATTCCGAATAGGATTCCTCGCAAGAAAAGGGAAAAGTTGACAGCTACGAGCCCAACCCCTGCAATAGAGGAAACCATAGCATCCATGACAGATGACCATCCAACCTCTGCTTAAAAACCTCCAAGGAAGGAGAGTCCATCACTTCCGGAGGGAGCACATTCAGCTGTCAAACTTGCTGCCAGAAAATTATTCCTGTCCTTTAGCTGGAATCTGCTTTACTTACAACTTGAATTGCTTGTACAGTATTGGTTTTCATTCTCTGACTCTGTGCTAGGAGCGCTGGATTTAGGGCAGTTCCCCTGCACAGGGCGCTGAGCCAAGGAGCCACAAAATAAAATAGTAATAATAATATCTATATTTATACAGGTGGCAACTCAAAGTTGGGTGTGTGCGTCCAATTTTGTCCTCCTCAGTCAGGGCACCCTGTTATGTCTCTGGTGACATCTGGGAGAGCCCCTGATGTGAGATAGAGGCAAAAAAACCCCCAGCAATTTTTAATAAATAAATGCCAAGCAATTGCATTCATTTACCTGTTGGCAAGCCCAGAGTGAAATACCTGCTCGGGCTCGGTTTGTACTGGATGATGCGGTTGCAGATATACTTCGCAGCCCACTCGCTGGCCAGGTCGTAGTTGTCAAGGATCACCAGCCTCATCCTCCTCCTCCTTCCTGGAAGATGCAGCGGAGAAGCAGCGGCGCCCAAGGCGAGCAAAACAAAACAGCAGCAGCAGCGACTCACTACCCGGCCTACGGAAGCGAGAGGGAAGCGGGCGGACTTCCGGCGCCCGCCGCGAGCCCCGCCCCTTTCGGCCTCCGCTGCTTCGGCAAGTTCCGCGGTTATGGGGAAAGGGGCGGGGCCCTTTCCCCGAGCTGCCGAGGAAGGGGCTCGGAGAAGCCAGCGCGCGTGCGCAAGTTCGGCTATAAATACCTGCCGGCAGCGGCACCTCTTGTTATTCGCGTTTTGGGCGCGGAGTGTGAGGTTGGGTGTATTTAGAGGGGGAAGGGGCAGGGAGAGGAGCGTGTCAAGGAAGCCATTCTGATAAACGCTGCTTTGGAGAGGGAGGAGCCTTTTTAGACGGGCTTTCAAACAGTGCAGGGAGAAAAGAAAAATGCAACCTGAGGCAGTGCTGGGGGGGGGATTAAACCTTCCTATCCCCCCATTGTTTGTTAAACGAGGGAAGAATATTTTGCCAATGCAGATAAAATTGGATTGTTTTACATGTATTGCAAGGGTAGGTGGGGAATTAACTTGGAGAGTGGGCTAAATGCAAACTTGAGTAGTTCAAGGGGGGAGGGAATGCAACCTCCCCCCATCATAGTTTGTAAACGTGGGAAGAATACTCTGCCAATACAGATAAAATTGGGTTGCTTTACATGTATTTGCAAGGGTAGGTGGGGAACTAACTTGGAGAGTGGGCTATATTATGCCAACCCTGCAAAGTTATCTAATCCTTAGTTTGCTTGGTGTATGTGGGGGTGTTAGGTTAGTCCAGTAGTATTTTGGCATAGTTTATTGGGAGAAGGGCAGACTTAGAACTTAAACTACTGAAAGGCATAGCTACTTGGGCTTCAACACTGAGGCAGTCATAAAATGCTGGAAATATGCTGTAGACCTCTGTTCTCCGCAGCTAGTTATGTATTTAGTTGTATTGCCTTGTGTGTGCGCACACATCGCCCTTGCTGCAAAAAATTCTGAATGCTTGGGGTTTTTCCTAATGATGCAAGCAGCTTGCAATATAGACTCAAAAATAAATAGGATACTCAAACTTGAGCTGAGGGAAACAGCATTTTAAAGTTCAGGGGGCTGCATGACAGGATCTTGAAAAGAATCTAGGTTGCTTTAGGGGAAGGGGTGAAAATGCAGTACCTAATTATTTTTTTGCTGGTAAGCCAATAAATGAAGATCTTTCAATGTTAATTGAATTGATTTGCATTCTACTTTAACTACAGTGAGCTGTGCGCATAGCAGCTGAGAGCAAACATTCAAAGCAAAGTACAGTTAAAAGAAAAAGTTTTTGGGGGGTATTGTTTGCCTTTCTCTGCTGTCACTGGAAAAAGTAATTTGATAAGACAAACTTATTTGTAAACTAACAGATTAATCACCATGACTTAAATTGGGCATCCATTATAGAGGCACAAAATAAGAATTTTTGGGACAGAGATACAAATAGCAATGCAATAACTAGATCCTTGACTTACTACTAGTACTTACTACTACATTAACAAATTAGAGGGGGCAAAATACATCCTGTTAAACTCAATCTTACGTAGGCAAGATTTTGATGGAGTTCTATAATCATAGTATCTTAGATCAAGATTTGTATGGGCTCCTGCCTGTGTGACAGGCTTTGCTATATACATTTACTGAGTTGAAGGCTGAAATCAGATTTATGAAAGCTGGAAGATTCTTGGAGAGTCTTTGTGTAGTTTTAATTAAATTGCAAGAGACATAGTTAATAGTGTTTCTAGTTTTACGGAATCCAAATTGTGCCTCTGATACTGTTGGCTGAAAAATATATCTAGAGTAACCATTGCTATTTTTCTAGAAAGAGGCGCCGGAATTCACAAATTCCTCCCTTGTTATCCTATAATGGCAATGGCACCCACCTGAGAGGTGCCAGAAGTGTGTTCCTGTGAGTTGCAGCTGAAAAATATTTTTATTTGAGGGATCTTGCAAATACCTTTTAGGGGCATTAGGGAAAGGGACCTCATTGTGTCCTTCATCCTGGGAGCGGTAGAATTTAAAGAATCTGTTGTCAAGTCTTGCGATGTTTGTTTTCAAAAACTCTGGGTCTGGGGACCAAATGCAAGGAAGATTTTCATGTGGAATTATTGTCAGCAATTGAATGACAAGTCAATGTCCACATGACCAATTAAACTCCTGGGCTGTAAATGAGATTTGGCTATACACGCCAAGCACAGAAATCTGTAATTTGGCTTGGCCTGGGTATTTGTCAGCTTTGTTCCATTGCAAATGGTTCAACTGATGAATGAATGAACTTTATTACGGTCACAGACCAGTATAAAAAATCAACATATAAATAAAATAGCAGTTAGGATTTGTTTATTTTTAACTGATAAATGTTGGAGCAAATAAGGACAAAGAAACAAGCATAGGATAAAACATCTGAATAAAATACAAGATTAAACACGGATAATGGATGGATAAAAACTGATACTTAAACCAGATAAGAACTATAAACAAGCAGTTAAAACAACTGTAAGAGCACAAGAACTAAAAGACTCAGTTAAAACAACTATAAGAGGCTGCAGAGTAGAAGCCTCTGAAATAGAAATTAGAAATTGATGTGCAAATATGGTTAAAACAGACAATTAAAACAATGTACAACAATAAATTTAGAAACAATGTGTAACAATAAACTATCCCAGGGAGTTGACTCAAGAGTCACCCATGGAATAGAGTTTGGGGATTTTCATGCCGGACTATTTTGAGTTGGACAATGGTTTGCGCCTACAGATTTGTACACAGAATCTGGCGACCATCCAGGTTTTCTTCTGATCTTTGCCTAACAGCAAAAGGTCAAATTTTTGCTTTTGCGGGAGGTCGGCGAGCCTCACCAGTAGGGGATCAGTGAACTTACTACGTGCCTCTAAGTAAAAGGGACATTTAAAGAGCAAGTGTTCTGGGCTTCCTGTCTCTCCCAATGGACAGGTGCAAAGTCTCTGAGCATACGGGACCCTTCAAAAGGCTCCATCCAGGACCAGCGAGGGAAGAGCCGTGCTTCTGGCGAGTGTAAAGGCCCTTCTTGCATTTTGAGATACGAGAAAGAAGAGATGTGCTGCCGGTGCGGCTATATATCTGATGATTTCTCCAATTTTATAGTCGGGGCACCTTGCATAGTCCAGTTGTCTCTTGGTATCTAATATTCTTTGCCTGACCATGGCTTTTGCCTGGCCCAACCCCAGACTTAGAAGGGCTTGAGGGGCAAAACCCAGTTTCTGGAGGGTGTTCAGAACTGCAGTCTGCCAGCCTGACTGGAATTGGTCACAGAGGATCAGTGGGGCTATCCCTCGGGGCGGGGGGGGGGGGAGCAGATTCAATGTCAGCCATTTGTGGATTGATGTTAAGCAAATGCTAGCCTCCACTCTCATCCCCGTTTCCAATCTCACCCATGTGTTTGAGACACATCTGGGGACTTGGAGGAGAGCTCTAAGAAGTCTAGCTTGAACTCTCAAGGGGTGAGAAAGCAGAGGAAGGAGGAACCATCCAGGAGTTGTGCCAAAGTTTTGGCCTTGTATAATTTTAGAGCTGCGGAATTTAAGAATACAATTTGCGGTTTTTTCTGCTGAACTCCCAATGGAGTTTATGTGTAGTTTGTTGGTTCCTGAGGCCTGTACCACCATTCCTAGATACTTGTAGTTTGTGACTTGTTCTAATTTATGGCCTTGGAGTTCCTAGCTTCTAAGCTTTGGTTTTTCCCCAAAAGCGAGTATCTTGGTCTTTTAATAGTTGATTTTGAGACATTCGGATTCACAGTATG